CAAGCCAACTTTTTTATTTTTCTGTTCCTTCTGTGCAATTGGGATCTCAGCTCTATCTTTGCAGTCCACAGTTTTCTGACCAAACTCAAAACATTTTAAATCATCCTGCTTCACTCTTTGCTGTTTGATTCACAACATAAATCTGGCTAAACTGCCTTTAAATTTCTTGTTTCAGATTAATCACTCCAGCATCCATAATCTTAGTGTCAGGCAAAGTCTCTGGACTCGAGAAAAATGCAGACAAACTCTGCCAAGCCATAACACACATCATCTGGACTCCAACAACCAGTCCTCCTTCCCACCAGAAACCTCCTGTCAGCAGGCTTTCTATCAACCTTCTGGTCTCCTGAGCTCTGACTATAATCTGCCATGCAGAAAAACCTAAGTCATTCCAGCTCTGTACATTCAGGTAATGCCCTCAAATCTTTCCAAACTTTTCCCACAAGCCATTCTTGAAGGCTCTTAAACCACATGTTCAGGCTTAGTCACATCAATAACCTCACTCCTGGTACCAAATTTTGTCTTGGTTAGTTTTCTTTCATTTCTGAGGCTAAATACCCAATACCAAAATAAGGGAAGGGACTGTGTATTTAGCTCACTGTTTCTGGAGGTTTCAATCCATAATCAGCTGGCTCCAAGGCAGGGTAGCATGGCACTGGGGCAACACCTTAAGACAGTATCCAGAGCAAAAGGCGGAAAACAAACCACTTCTCCTGGCTTATAATGTATACAGGCCAGGACACATGTAACACTTCCAAAATCTCCTTGCCCTCCTTTGCACAGGATGAGAATATTTACAAAGTAAGAACCCTGGATCCCTACTGAGACTCTCAGTTAAATTTCTAAACTTTTCAAGTGGATGCAATGTATAAACCATAATATGTATGAAAACTGAGTTCAATGCCCCAGAGTGTGCTGGAATAATATAAAATGAGCATTTAATTTAAATCCTTTCACTGTGAGGAATTCAGTACTTTTCATTTTACTTCATTTTTGTTTTTACTGATGCTGACACTAGAAAAATGAAAAACCATACACATAAACTGAGCACAGTCTCACAGAAAAATCTAAGCCCTAGGTCTCAGACATATGACCTCTTTCTTCATCCTTTCTTAATATTACATGCAAGTATGTAGACAGAGCCAATGGGGTATGAATGCAGCACCCACAATGTGTGGGTATTAGGGTTGGAAGGAAGCTTCTGCCTATAGACATCAATCAAGTGTTCAGTTGACTTATTGGAATTAAATGCTAAAATCCACCCGTGTCCCTGAGTCATATCTCTCAGCTATAGTAAACACAGGAAAAATACAAATTTTATTTATCAATGTCTTAAGTTTTTAATAACCTAGGGATTACAAATAATAATTTAAAATTTTTTAAATTTTTAAATGAAATAATAATTAGCAATGTAGAAAAAACATGAAATCATTAAAAACATGATAGAAAATATAAGTATGTGGAATATATGATAAATATCAATAGAATATTAAATGGAAATAAATTAAACATTGTTTATGTAATAGCAATACAACAAAATTGGGGGACAGAATAGTAAATATAACTGTGTGTGTCACTCAACATAAAAAGTATATTCCTGCATGCATTTTAATTGTTTATCCACTAGGTAAGCGCTTGCCCTCAAAGGGAGCCAGTACTCCCAGAGAGGTCCAAGTTTACACAGTTTTTTCCTGAGTCCCAGGGGTTAAGCTCTAACATCAGATCATGGTCCCACATGACACTGTTTTAAAGTGATAAAACTTCTATCAGACCCTTTTATTCAAGATAATGCTAACATTTTTAGCATCTACACAGACTATATTCCCAAGGCTGAGCTTTTTCAAGGATTCTTGTTTCATGCTGAATTCATAGGACTTAGTAGTCTGTATAGATGCGTCTCAAATTCTCTTCACATGCATAATTTTGGAAGCATTAATTATGTTAATTCTGTTCCACAAATGATGAGACTAAACTCTGTAGAAAATAAAGAATTCCCAAGTATATGGAAAAATCCATATACTTGCAAGACCTAAACATGTGTCCTACTTCTCTGTTGATAATTCTTTTTCCATATCTATAAAGGTCATAGAAGATGGAAAATCTTATTCAGAAAGATGTGAGAGAACATTTCTCCAGTATCATTTGCACATCTTCCCAAAAACAAATTTCTGATTTCTGATGCACTATTCAAGACTGCCTTCTCCTCTTTTCCAAGATCAAGGTAAGATTCTCTACATAATAAACACTTTTAATTTAAAAACATCAGTGAACTATAAATGGTGGGATGTCTGCAATATGATCTATTTCTTTATCCTCTCTCTGTTTCCTTTAATGTCAATTCTGAAATTCTGAATTGGAGATTCTGGGTGTGCAATTCAGTGACAAAAGATCTGCCTAGTGTGTGCAAGGCCCTGGGTTCCATCACAACTCCATTTTAGGAAACTTAGATATATTTGACTGAGGGATGTTGGTCAATGGTAGAATGATTGCCCTGTGTGTGTGATGCCCCAGGTTCCATCTTCAAAACTATTGGCATTGCAACGCATCCAGCAATCCAACACAAAAACACTTTAACCGACAGAGAGCACAGTGTTACCGTGTTTATGAACTTCTTGTTTATTTCCTTGTGGAAATGAGAAAAACTTCGATAGACGATGATCTGATTTGGAACATGTTATTTCATCCTTTTCATTATACATTACTTTCTTATTAAAGGGGTAGTTTGCAAAACCAGTGTGACAATAAAGATTCCACCTGATTCTAGAACCACTACTATGAATCTACTATGATCATTACTTCATTTTACCAATTTCCCCACAAACTGATTTTTCATGACTTGCTCATCTAGAAAGTCTAGCATTGCAGTGACACATATGAGAATAAGTTAGACATGGTCCTGAATCTTGATTGAACTATTGCAAGTATAAGATACAAGAAATAAACATAATTCTCCAATCTTCCTTTCTCTTCTTATTGAATGAGATGCATATATTATGTGCAAATGATATCTCCCTCTGTTCTTTGATACCTTCCTCTCTTTCTGTCCATTATTTCTCTCCATTTTCTAAGAGACAAACCAGCTCACAAGCATTGAGTTTAACCTAGTTCTCACTAAAGAAAATAAACTCCTTTAGGATTTTTTATATTGACAAATTGCGTCTTTTCTCTAGCCCTCTTTGATACACACACATGTGAAGAAGTCATCTATGTAATCTATGAATATGTCACAGGCACAAGGAAGCCTCAAATAGGAAATTTTCCTATTGTGCTTCATCTTTCAAGGCAGAATCACAGCCTTAACCATGGCCCAGAAAGATGTCCATATTTTGCTCCATGAATTATGTTGCACAGATGATAAAGAAACCGCTGCACACAACGTTTAAATTGAGGCTATGGGGACGGTAAAATTATCCTGGTGTATTCACATGGCAACAATGAAAGTAGTTGTCACTAGAGAATGTTGCAAATTAAAAACAAAAGAAAACAATTATAGCCACATTATTTAGTGGGTGATACATTGGAAAACGCAAAAATGTGCAGTCCAGGGTGCAGTAGCCTCGGGAGGGTTCAGGAAAAATGATGGACAGCAGCAGTTCTCAGGGATAGGAGGAGTAATCCACAGGCTAATGTCAAACTCTCAGACTGTGCATCTTAGCCCTGTGCATCCGTGATTCAGCTGACTGCTGACAGCAGCAGCAGCAGGATGAGTCTAAGACACAGGATTCTCTCAGCAGAACTGAAACGTGTGAAATGCATGCTGTAAGGAAGAACTTTGAATAAGAAGACTCTGAGAGCCCTGGACCCTAAGCACAGTGACTAACACAACCACTCCTCTAGGAGAATAGACTGAGAAACACTGAAGACAGCCAAAGATTTGAGAGAACTAGTGTGTGAAAAAGAATTTCAATCAAGAATTAAATTACCTGACAACACCTTAACCTCTACCCAAGGCACATGTGCTGGGATCCACCTCTGTCCACCCGCAGACCCCAGCACTGTATACTGAGAGCAATGTTACAACTGGCCATCCTCAGGGTTGTGCTGAGCACACCCACTCTACTGTTCTCAGGTGCTGTCTCATTGAATCCTCATCAGAATATTTGGAGGGAAGTCCCAAAGTGCCCAGAAATGTTTATTTAACTGAAACATAAAATTATACTGAGAAAAGTTAGGCTAAAATCAGTGTTTCAAAATATCAAATAGTGAAGCTACATAGTACTGTACATGCACCCCTTCCAAGACCCCTATTTTTCAAAGCCAATGCTGTATTTTCTTTTTATAGCACTTTCATGGTTTCATATGACTCTAATGCTGCATGCAATGCACTGTACCTACCAGGGGTTTACTTGTGACTCTCGTCTTCTAGGCAATCTTGCATAATGCTTATATAAAAGAAATAATGCCTAAAGCTAAGTTAAGTAAAAGTAGAATGATATCTAGTTTACTAACAGTATTTTGGTTTGAAACCTACTTTTACTAAATCATGACTGTGTCTACTAATCATCATATACACTTGAATAAATTCAACCATTTTGAATTTGTTTTGCCAAATTACTTCCTATAAAAATGGGTATCACTAAACCATTTAATGGCACTGGAGAGAGGATTAAATGACACTTATGACTGGCAAGGGACAATTATAGCCACTTGTGTGTTAGGTTCAATCTTACTTGGCACAGAGATTTATGCAAGGCATCGGATTCTAGTCTATATACTATAATGTTACTTTCACTGATTTTCTCATATGCAAAATTAATAACGGGATTACAATCCTTGAAGACCTCTCCTCTTCATAAAATTATTCTACAGATAAGTCATCTACTTACAGATAAGTTTATTGGAAGAGCAAGATCTAAAGGATCTGTCGGTTAAGAAAAACAACTTTCTGTCAAGGGAAAATGATGTGCACAGATTTTAGCAGCCACAAAACCCACTTGTGCCCATCTTACTGTTCCTTCTTCCCTTGCTGCCCTAGGGTGCCTTGGGACTCTGCAGTACCAGCCATGGAGAATACCACGAAGGTGAGCGCTTTCTTCCTGCTAGGACTCACCGCTGCCCCAGAACTGCAGGGCCCGCTCTTTGCCCTGTTCCTGATGGTCTACCTCATCACTCTAATTGGGAACCTCGCGATGATCCTGGTGATTCTGCTGGACCCTTGTCTGCACATGCCCATGTACTTTTTCCTCAGCAACCTATCCCTGGTGGACTTATGCTACTCCTCAACTGTCACCCCAAAGGTTTTGTCTGGTTTGCTTGCAGATGACAAACTTATCTCTTACAATGCCTGTGCTGCACAGATGTTCTTCTTCGTCTTCTCTGCCACGGCAGAGAATTACCTCCTGGCCACCATGGCCTATGATCGCTTCGTGGCTGTGTGTAAGCCCCTGCACTACCCTATGATCATGACGAGGAATGCGTGTATTCACCTGGCCCTCGGCTCTTACATCTCTAGTTTTCTGACTGCTGCTATTGATGTTGGAGACACCTTCTGCCTCCCTTTCTGTGTGAGCAAAGTGGTCCACCACTTCTTCTGCGATATTCCAGCTGTCATGTCTCTCGCATGTCCTGATAAACACATAAATGAACTGATTCTCATTTTCATCTCTAGCTTTCATATCATTTTTGCATTAGGTGTTATTTTAATATCCTACCTACTTATATTTATAACAATTTTGAGTATGCATTCAGAGAAGGGAATGAAGAAGACTTTGTCTACCTGTGCCTCCCACCTCACTGCAGTTTCCTTGTTTTATGGCACTGCCACCATCATGTACCTGCAGCCCAGCTCCAGTCACTCCATGGACAAGGACAAAATCTTATCTGTGTTCTACACCATGGTCATCCCCATGCTGAACCCTATGGTCTACAGCCTGAGGAACAAGGAGGTCAAGAGTGCATTCATGAGGGTTGTTGTGCACAAAATTGCCTTTAGGGTTTTCATTTTAACTTAGGAGGAGACACCAAAACTCTAAATTTCCAGAGTTTCTTCTTCAGCTGAATCACATTTTAAAACTCAGGCAGAAATTATTTTCCTAAAATCAGACACCTAACCCTTCGGCAGCTACCACCTAGAGATAAAGAAATATCTCCAGAAATATAATCTGCAAACAGAAAAGCTATGATGAAACATTAGTTATACTGTTATGTTTTCATCAAAAACCTTATAAAAACATTTATTGACTCACATATTTTATATATTTTCTTTATCACAAGCTAATAGAGACAGACATTTTAAAGGATGGCATCTATGTGTCCTTCATATATCCAAAATATATCCACATGATCACACGTACATGAGGATGGGAAATCGCCCACCCTCATGAGAAGTCGAATGTAGTTAAACTATGATTTAACAAAACTCAGTAATTAGTTAAAGTATCAGAAATTTAATACCTGTCATATTGTTTATTCATTGAGTTGCTCGTATTACTGAATTACTAATTTAACAAAAAAGTGGCACCTTCACATTTTAATATGGAGAATTAGAAATACATAATTAAATTAATTAACCTTTTGTCTTGATTGTATTATTTTATGCAATCAATAGGATCATGTTTAACATACCAAGAGTAGAGTCCCAGAAAAGTATGAGAAAACAGAAACATTTTATGATGTGTTCATATCTGACGATCAAGTCTCATGTCATTTTATAAATTCACTGAGAGCTCATAAAGCCTCTCAAATTTTCTTCTGAACAGACTTTGACATTTTTAGTAACATTTTCACTGTACTTAGGATGAGTTACTTTATCTTTAGCCACTGTCTCATTTTTTTTTTACCAATTTTATGTTTGCTGACTCCTTGCTGTTTCTTGAAATAATCTTGTGGCCTCAATCTCTCTACTCTGCTCAGGTCTTTGATTATGTGCCGCTATGTCAGAGCACTCTTCTCTGATCACCTTACACAAAGGTCACTCCCTGTGTCATGAGCAAGCTGTCCCTCCACCCTATGTTAATCTTCATGCCCCATACTAGCAATGTACACAAAAGCAAACCAGCTTGACATAGAGTTCTCACAGTGTGGCACAGTGAGTAGGATTCTCCAGAGTAAGAGAACTAAACAACAGAAAAAATAGGAAAAGGATTATTACATGGAATGGAGCATGAGATTACAGAGGCTGAGGACTCCCATGAGAGGCCTAGTAAAGCTCCTCATGCAGCTTCAGGTCCAACACAAAACCCTCACTACCATGAGACCCAGTGGTGTAAGTTCCAGGCCAAGTGTGAGAAATGAGGCCCAGGAGTTGTGATTCCCAGGACAGGAGCAGAGGGATGTCCTGCTCAAACACACAGCACATGTTCACCCTTCCTCTGCCTCCAGGATTGCTGGGTACCTGCCGCCTTTCCTGAGGGTGAGACAGTTCCCTTGCTGACCTCTTCTGGAATTGACCTCAAAGACACCCAAATACAGTGTTTAATCAGCTTTCTGGATATCTTTTGATCAATCAAGATAGCATATGAAATTAACTGAAGAGCCAAAAATAAATAAAACAAAAGCACATTGGTCTTATTAGAGCTGTGAACCATGAAAAACCAAAAAGAAATAAATGAGAAATCATGAAAATAAAACATACATTAAGGATTCTGCAAAACCCTTTGATGGATAGTGTAACTATTAGGGCATGTAAAGTAGAATTTGAATTACCATATGCAAATGGTGCTTTGCCATATTCAAAAGAATGTTTTGAAAGCAAAGAGGTGGAAAATAGACAAAGAGACAGGCAGCACACCCTTGAGAAGGACATATGGAAAAACAGTGAATAAAATAAATACAAAATATAAATATGAGATGGATGAACATTTGCCTAGTTGAAGAAATGTGAGTCCTTGTGTTGGAAAACTGTCTCATTGTTGCAGAAAATTCATTTTTAAAAATCTGCATTCCTAGAGTAGAAAATAAAACAAGAATAAATTTTATGAAGAAATTATAGTTACCTGGCATCAGTTAACTTCCTAAAAAATAAGTTGAAAGCCTTAACATGTTTTAAAAGACTAAAAGAAAATAAATATCAATCCCAGATTTCTATACCTAGATTAAGTGCCAATCACATTTGACTGCAAATACTGTCAGATATAATCAAATATTCCAAGTTGGTTTACTATCTAGCAGTACAATGAATGTGTTCAGCAGAGGCCCAAGGTACAATTTATTGAATTGGGAATCTGGAAGAAGGAAGGGAGCACATTTCACCTTTTCCTGCCTCTCTGACCCTGCTTCTCTGCAGGAGGAGTGGTTTCCCCAGCCCTTTCATCCAGCCTAAATCATGTGGTAGCCTGCTGGGGAAAAATCCACCTGTGCAGAGGGGAGACCTGTGGTATGAGGTTAGGCTGCCCTGGTGCAGACCCAGGGACAGTGATGTGAGCGGAGTGAGTTGAGTGTTGTCAGTTCACAACAGGAAACCCTGATGACGTACGGGAATTATGTCAGAGCAGGGAAAGATGGCACTGCAGGATTTTACTCACAAGTGCTGTGTATCTATGAAAACTGAGCTCTACATACCAGAAACTGCTGGAATAACACATAAAACAAACACTTAACTTATAATTCCTAAAAGGTGCATCTCACTTCCATTTGTTTTTTTATTGGTACTGACACCATAAAAATTAAACACCTCACGCGTGAGCCAAGCACATTTTTACAGCAAAGTCTAAGGCCTGTGTCTTAGACATGAGGCCCCTTTCTTAATACCTATGTCCCAGTATGAAGATAGAGCAACCCAAGAGGATTCCCACAGTGTGTGCTAAAGGTCACTGCGGTAGGCAGGAAGCCTCTGCCTGCAGAAATCAATCACATGTTCAGTTGGCTTATTGGTAACGATTCCTGTTCAAATCCCCACCTCTCTGGTTTCTGTGTCATCTCTCTCCTGATAGTAAACACATGAAAGAAAAAATATGAATTTCATGTGTAGTTTCCTTAAAATTTCATTAACCAATGGAATGCTAATAATAAGTAGCTTAATGGAGAGAAACACAAGAAATGAATAAAACCAGCTAGAAAAAATAAATATGTAGAGCATATTATAAATGTCAATGGAAAGTTAAATGCAAATGGGTTAAGTGTACTGTTCACACGTGTAGCAACAACATAACAAAATTAAGGAGTCCTGTTTAGCTGCCGCGACTGGCCATTGGTCTGCAAAGGAGGAGCTGGGCAGATCTGGGGTGCCCTCACTGGCCTCTCTGCGTGTCTGGAGGACTCTGGATTTCTGCGCCCGGACTGCTGGAGTTCCCTCAGGCTTCCAGGTGCAGTGAAAGGGAGAGGTGGGTTTGAGGCTTCCACATCAGCCTCCCCATTCCCGGCTTCATTTGGAGACCTGCTGAGCTCCCGATGGGTTGGCTGGCCCGCGCTACCAGCCTAGCCCAGCCTGTTTAGCTGCCGCACCTGGCCATAGGTCTGCAGAGGAGGAGCTGGGCAGATCTGGGGTGCCCTCACTGGCCTCTCTGCGTGTCTGGAGGACTCTGGATTTCTGCGCCCAGACTGCTGGAGTTCCCTCAGGCTTCCAGGTGCAGTGAAGGAGAGAGGTGGGTTTGAGGCTTCATTTGGAGACCTGCTGAGCTCCTGATGGGTGGGCTGGCCCACACTACCAGCCTATCCCAGCCTGTTTAGCTGCCGCGCCTGGGCATGGGTCTGCGGAGGAGGAGCTGGGCAGATGTGGGGTGCCCTCACTGGCCTCTCTGCGTGTCTGGAGGACTCTGGATTTCTGCGCCCAGGCTGCTGGAGTTCCCTCAGGCTTCCAGGTGCAGTTAAAGAGAGAGGTGGGTTTGAGGCTTCCACATCAGCCTCCCCACTCCCAGCTTCATTTGGAGACCTGCTGAGCTCCTGATAGGTGGGCTGGCCCACACTACCAGCCTAGCCCAGCCTGTTTAGCTGCCGCGCCTGGCCATAGGTCTGCAGAGGAGGAGCTGGGCAGATCTGGGGTGCCCTCACTGGCCTCTCTGCGTGTCTGGAGGACTCTGGATATCTGCGCCCAGACTGCTGGAGTTCCCTCAGGCTTCCAGGTGCAGTGAAAGGGAGAGGTGGGTTTGAGGCTTCCACATCAGCCTCCCCATTCCTGGCTTCATTTGGAGACCTGCTGAGCTCCCGATCGGTGGGCTGGCCCACACTACCAGCCTAGCCCAGCCTGTTTAGCTGCCGCGCCTGGCCATAGGTCTGCAGAGGAGGAGCTGGGCAGATCTGGGGTGCCCTCACTGGCCTCTCTGCATGTCTGGAGGACTCTGGATTTCTGCGCCCGGACTGCTGGAGTTCCTCAGGCTTCCAGGTGCAGTGAAGGAGAGAGGTGGGTTTGAGGCTTCCACATCAGCCTCCCCATTCCAGGCTTCATTTGGAGACCTGCTGAGCTCCCGATGGGTGGGCTGGCCCGCACTACCAGCCTAGCCCAGCCTGTTTAGCTGCCTCGCCTGGCCATAGGTCTGCAGAGGAGGAGCTGGGCAGATCTGGGGTGCCCTCACTGGCCTCTCTGCGTGTCTGGAGGACTCTGGATTTCTGCGCCCAGACTGCTGGAGTTCCCTCAGGCTTCCAGGTGCAGTGAAGGTGAGAGGTGGGTTTGAGGCTTCCACATCAGCCTCCCCACTCCCTGCTTCATTTGGAGACTTGCTGAGCTCCTGATGAGTGGGCTGGCCCACACTACCAGCCTAGCCCAGCCTGTTTAGCTGCCGCGCCTGGCCGTGGGTCTGCGGAGGAGGAGCTGGGCAGATCTGGGGTGCCCTCACTGGCCTCTCTGCGTGTCTGGAGAACTCTGGATTTCTGCGCCCAGGCTGCTGGAGTTCCCTCAGGCTTCCAGGTGCAGTGAAGGAGAGAGGTGGGTTTGAGGCTTCCACATCAGCCTCCCCACTCCCGGCTTCATTTGGAGACCTGCTGAGCTCCTGATAGGTGGGCTGGCCCACACTACCAGCCTAGCCCAGCCTGTTTAGCTGCCGCGCCTGGCCATAGGTCTGCAGAGGAGGAGCTGGGC